AGTAAGATCTTTAATGATCTTAAGTAAGAGTTAGCAATACTACGAGCGAGATTTGTGCGCAGATAATTTCTTACCACACTAAATTTAACAGAAAAATTTATCACAAAACGATTATTGATGCTAATGTCTGAAATTCTATTTAATCTATGCAAGATATGTGATTACCAGAGCCCCTTCGGCCGCCAATTTAAAGTGTTTTAATCTTTAAAATTGGCGTTTCCACTTCCCGGGACAAGGACCCAGGGATTGGATTTGTGGGAAGCGTGTGTTCGGGTTGTTTCATTGTGTGGAATTACATAGAACGTGGCGCTTGACGTGTAAATGCATGAGTGCGAGAATTCGAGTAAAGGTTAAACGGTGTATATCTTCGTGTACAGTGATGTTATATCCGTGCCTGTGTGTGTGTGCGATCGAAGAACATCTTCGGTATGTCTAAAAACAGAAAAACAGTAAATTACGATACGAGAATAAGATGTGTTAAAAAATAAAACGGAAGCGTTCTTACCATCGGAGATTTCGGAAAACATTCACTTGTACCCTAAATGGCCACTTCGTCCTCTTCGTGGTAAAGTTGGGGAGGGAGATCCTTCTCCCTCCCAAATGTTCCTACAAAACACAAAGACAGTGAGAAAAGGAGAAGTTGATTCATTTATTATCTAAGGTCAACATTATTACCTTTATCAGGTCTTTCTTCCCGAACAGTGTCATGAAGAGAGCGAAGGACCTGACCTAGCCTAGCTTAATCTAACCTAACCTAACCTAACCAACCGGAAGCTCAATCCTCGTAACAACTGTTTGGGAAGAAAGGTCGGCCGAATGTCGCGTCCGGTGAAGAAACGTGTCAAGTCCGGGTGGTCACAATCGGAAGTCAAATCCGTTGTCGTCGATCGAGTGTCACGTTCAGGAGACAAGTCCGTGAGAACATCCGGGTAAGAGAAGGTCACGTCCGAGTAAAGAGGTCATGTCCGGGTGAAAGTGTCGAATCCGGTCAGAATGTCGCATCCGGGTGAAAAGGACGAGTTGGGGAAAATCGAAGAAGATCACCGCCTAGGCCGAGGAAACCGCAGCCATCCGCAGCAACAAAATCGCGGTTCCTCGACTTCGGCGGCGCTCTCCTCCGATGCTTCCCCGTCCCGACTTCCGAAAGACGATGGCGACGAGCGCGCGAGCGCGGACGCAGAGGCAGACCTCGCGAAAGTAGAAAGTGACGTCGAACTCCAAGAGAACTCGTCACTCTCTATGTCTTCCACAACAAGGCCTGTGGCTGGCTGACTCCTGACGACATTCACCAAGTGGAATGGACTCAGAACTCCCCCGAAGACGGGAGCGTCTTCGGAAGAGCTCCACGCCACAAGCATTTGGTAAAGTCTGTCGTCTGCCTCTCGGTCGGAGGTCCCCAACGACACCGAACTACCGGGTCTCATTGGAGCCGTCCGAGGAACCCCCTCCCTCCGGCGCCACCGCATTCTTCCGTCGGAACCTCCGGCGAAACCACTCCAACATCTTCATTCTGAAAAAAAGAAAATTTGCAATTAGTCGATTAAAACAAAAGCTTAAATTAATGTCTAAATTCTTCCGAGAAAAGCAAAATGCTCACCGCAGCTGCCTTTTTAAATCTAAAAGATTCGAATCGGACCATCGAACGATGTGCCGAGATGTCTTCTGGGGCCGATTAACGCAGAAAAAGTTCAAGATTATACTCACGACGAATCGGAATTCGGATAGCAACCGGAAATTGCTAGAACGTTCCAACTGTATTTGCAGTAGAGACGACCGACCCGGAACGAAGAAACTCTCTTACGTGTAATTTGTATTTGTACGACAGTAAATTAAAGACACGCCGCACGTAGCCATGAGGAAAAGGCATTCGAGCCCGAGTCGTAACAAGTGTTTCGTTCTAGAGCAATTTACCCTAACGTGTACGTCACATAAACGCAACGACGGCATTTAAAAGAGTTTCGTGCAAAGAAATTGCGAACGAGTCGACCGAAACACAAGACAAACGTAGGAAGAAGTGAAACGTGCCCACAGCCCAACTCGCCATTCGGGACACGAACGTTTAAGTGGCACAAAGCATTGTGCCACTTAAATGTTACGTAAGTGTGGAAGATCGACTGCACTCAGACCACCTTGTGAAAAGAGACAAAGAGCCTAAGGAAAAGAATTCTTTGTGTCCAGCCTGTATAGATAACTGTTAAGTGTATTAGTATTAGATGTGTTTGCAGACAATTTAATTCTGGCAAAATAAGCCATTGAAAAGCGTTGTAACTAATACATAAATTGCATGGAGAAGTCGGAGGTCAAAGGGCGAAGTTTTTGACCTGTCGAACGAACATCCCATGCTTCAGAATACGGTCTCCGTCCATCAATGTTACCAGAGTATATTTTAGTTAAAATTACGATGGAATTCGTATTTAAAGTTAGTATTAAGTAATTTTTAATTGAATTTCTATAAATAATCCTTATTCTTTGACCGTGTTTATAAAATATAAATGAATTAATTACGAGAATAAACCAATGAGCAAATACTTAATCCGTTTTCGGCGCTTCGGTCGTTCGTTTAAAAGTCCTAATTCACAAGCGACGGCAGATTTAAACGCCGATGTCGTCTCCGAAAGTTGGACTAAACGAAACGAAAATAAAATCTTACAGCTAGATAAATTCTAGTTAAAATCTTACTTGGTATAACGTCGGCGTCCACAAGTCTTCTTAAAACCACGTTCCGGTAGAAAAGAACACTGAAGAAGGCAAAAAACACAGCGAAAACAGGAGCAAAGAGCGCACACGTCCTCACAGCAAGCGAAAAACGTGCAAAGTGACGCAAAATCGTGTTGCAACAATAGAAACAGCAATTGTTGCCGTTTCTATGGAGATTAGAAAAGCGCGTAACGAATTCCAATGCGATTGACGTCATGGATTCTTTTTGAATTTTAAGGCTAAATATCTGCATTTTTTACGTTTCTATCCCCGGAATGACGACGGATTGGGATCGAGAGACTCCCTATCACCCTCTGTCTTCGGTTTCCATTCTCCACAAGGGGTTGGAAGCGAGATTTTCTATAATCGAACGTCGCCACCCCCAAAACTAGAACAAATCATTCCTCTGGTTCGTCCAGTATTTTCCGACCAAGTTTCCGATTGACCGACAGTGCAATTTTTACTGAATTTCGTAATATTTCGTTTATCCGACGCCATTTTAAGAGCGCTTACCTGACGTCATCGAACGTTGGTTATATTAAATATGCGTGTTATAGTTTAGTTACGTAAACGTTAAAGTAACTTGTATATTAAATAAGCGAATTTTATGAATTTACCTGACCGATAGAAAATATCCTGTATGTATTTTACACGAAACAATCAAATATAGATTTTTTTCTATATTGAAACTGAGTAAAAGATCGTTCGTTTCGAGAAATGTAACTGTTTTTATAAAAGAATCGATCAAAACTAACGAGTTGCGTAACTTTCTCGGCTGTTGGGAGATTTTATTTAGAAAATAACTTTTATACTTTTAATTAAATTATAATAAATAAAATTGTGTGTGGCGCCATCTGTTACGAAATTTTGTTATATAATCTTTTGATATTTTTAATTATTATAAAATGGCAAAAGGTTTAATTTTAAGGATATGAAAAAAAATTATAAATGCTAATGTGATATGCAGAAGGGAGGAAAATGCATTTTTAGAAATTAGCGAGAAAAGGGATTATTTAAATTTCCTTTCAAAAATAATATTTTAACTTATAAATCTACTCGCGATTGACATAATGGGGCAAGGACGGCCAAATATCTAGCACGCAGGCGGCTAACAGCCCGGTACCGGTCCTGGATAGAATCATTGGAAGCGTTATACGATATTTTGGTGTGTGGCATCCACTAGCTCAAGGCTTCTTAAACTTTTTTTATTCACGACCCCATTTATGATTGTGATTTTTTTCGCGACCCCCAAAAAATATAAAATAAAGATATATACAAATTTGCAAAAACAATAACGGTGTATTACCACAGTCCACTCTTGTGTTACAATGGAACAGAGAACTAAATACTGTAAGGTCTCGTTTTATGCGGTGGATACGTTCTACAGAAAAGCGCATATAAAAAATTCGCATAAAAAAAGACTTTACTTGCCTTGAAAAAGTAGGGATACGTTCCGTAATTTTCTAAAATCGCATAAAAACAAAACAACGAGTTAAAATTAACTTAAAACCGCATAAAAAAGTTTACAGAAATTAAAAGAAATAGGCTGCTTAATAAATTACTTCGAATGTCTGAAAGAAATTCATATAAAAGCTTAAAATAAACTTGTATTCAAACTTAATTCAGTTTATTTTATTGAAAAGTAATACAAGGGGAATCCCCGAATTGCGAAAGCTCACTCTAAAAACAAATCACTGACATATGGATGTGAAGAGTTAATACATATGGATGTGAAGAGTTAATTAAAACACCTTTAGTTCCTCGCCCGAGTTAACTCGGGCAGGTTACATAGCGTTACATAAAATATGGTCCTTAAGGCCAAAATGTTGTTTTTTTGAATTTTTGGAATGTTTTTTAAGTGTTCACCCTACTTTAAACCATTGTCCTCCCGCGACGTCTATGAGAATTCCCCGGGAAATCCCAACTCCAGCTGTGTTCAAAGTCATCCAGATGTGTAAACAATGACTCATCGGTGTTAAATTTCACAGAAGGGCGAGACAAAGGAAGTTAAACTTTGAAGCTTCTTCTTCAAAATTGACGCATTTCTTTCGTTTTTTTTCAGTTTTAAGTATTTTTTATGTTTAATTACATTTATATGAAAAATTGCTAGGAACTAAAGCGATTAAGGTAGATCTAGCTGTCCTTTACATCCATAAACGTTATATGTCAGTGGAACAAATGGAGTGAGCTTTGAGCGTTCCACGATTTTTGGAGACTGTCTATACGCGGGCTTCCTAAACAAGCCTATATGTATGTTTGTCCAAGAAATTTTTGGACGAAACACAAACCGCACAACTTCAAAATCGCATAAAAATAATCCGCATAAAAAGAGACCTTACAGTACACTGAAATGCGATTACACTACAATCAGTGTTGCTGAATCGTTGTCTCGCTGCACCAGAAGTGACACAAAGCGCAACTCACGAAACATATGACACAAAGCCATTTTCAAACTCTCACAAATTATTTTCAATATTTTGCATTAAACTCTCGCGACCCCAAGATTTCGCTAAGCGACCCCAAATGGGGTCGCGACCCATAGTTTAAGAAGCCCTGCTGACTAGCTAAACCGCGAGGTTGGTGCTCTGTAAAGCGTATGCCCGAATGCGTATAATCTGGCTGTTTGAATGCGTATAATCTGGCTGTCCCGTATTCGACAATACAGCGCTTCCATTTCGCCACTGATATTCGAATATACAATAGCAATCTTGTCGTTTGTTTTACATGTAGTATAGAAATTTGTAATAAGATACATAATGTGGTTATAATAAAATATTCATTTTAATTATATGAAAATAATCGCACAATATATCTTTATATTTTAGAAAATACAAGGGAAGCGGCGCTTCCATCGCTTACAAGCACGGCACGCCACTGTTAATGACATTTACGAATGTTCAAAACCGAATTAAAATAGTACTTTTAAGCAGTCCTTTAAAAAAGGCAAAAGCAATATCTGAGTAAAAAACGAGAAAATTTCATATATTAAAATAATTTCGAATGTTTACAGATGACTCTCCCTATGCTCCAAACAAACTTACCTATATACCTTGCAAACTTTCGCCGTGAAGCGATTGAAGCGCTCGAAGTGGCAGAAATATTTATTACGACACTATCGTAGCATTAGAGTTATTGGCAGCGCAAGGACCAGTATATATCTATCGATTGTGGCCGTAGTGGAGTTTAACAAAGTGGCAAACTATGATAAGAAGAATTTTTGATAATTGATTATTTTACAAATTGATGAATATTTATCAAAACATTATTAAATATTATAAATTATTTTATGTAATGTTATGTTATAAATTTATTCTAATTATTCTTAATGAAAAAAGTTTTATTCGGTTAATAATTACTTAAGCGGCGATTTGTTTATCTGGCAACGTTTTACGAAAACAAGCATGGCTGTCGATTGGAAAAATGAGGAGGACGTGAGAGAATATTTGGAAAACTTGGGAATCGAATACAGATTTCAATGCTACTACGAAAAGAAACCAGATGGCAAGAAATATTTCGTCATTATTAAGCGTTTTATTTATCAGCTTATTTTTTTGTCTTATTTTATAATATATTTAGGATGTCATCGTCTCGGCGACTTCTTAGAAGCGGTTAAAAAAGATTTCAAAAAAGCAGCTATAGTTTATAAAAGAAATTGTGAAGAGAATAACTATGGTAAAAGTTGCTATAAGTTTGGAGGCTATGTGTTCTTAGGAAAAGGTAGGGTTGTATTAATAAACTTCATTGAAATTTTGAATCACCTTTGTGGATTTTGGTAGAAGTTTACTTACGTAGGCTAAAAGCTCATAAAACACAAGATTACTTCAGGGTGTATATATATATATACCATACACTACACTGCTGTATCTTGCCTAGAGTCACATATACATCATCATTTCCTTTAACTTTTTTACTCCTCTGGGCACCATGTTCTTCGGAGTAAAAAAGTTACATGGTTATGGTCTAAAGCTCTGATAAGATTACAATACCTCATTCGGAGCAGCGCTTGTTTCATAAATCAAATAATATGATCCATTTTATGATAAAGTTCTTAAAAGCATGTTAACTCTAGAATTTCACTTATCTCAAAGTCTGTAAGCGTGTAGCAGAAATTGTTGTTTTCTGCATGCCAAAGAATTTAAAATGCTAGCAGATGTATGCAGTCTGGATGCAGCTGATCTATAGTTTCAGAGAATTGTCTGAATACATTATGTTATTCAATGTATATTTGATTATTTTTTTCTTGTATTTTATTATTAGTTCCATTTATATAATATTAGACCAACCAGTCAAGTTATAAATTTTTTTAAAAAGTAATGAACAGAGATATTCTAATGATGACATATATTTATTTAGTTAAGTGGACAAAAAGTAATATGAAATGTAAAGTTAATGGTCAAATTCTACCTACGTGCACCATCGTGGTGGCAGTCGCAACTGTTTGTGCTCCTGACTGACTCCTCCCGGAGGGTAGCCACTGAGTGTATAATGTTACTAGTTATTGATTCATGGTAGTTTTTGAACACACATATCAATAGCTAGTATGTATCAGTAAATAGTGACATTATACACTTGGCAGCTCTCCTCTGGGAGGAGTCAGTTGGGAGCACCAACAGTCGCTACATGATGGTGCATGTAGGTAAAATTTAACCAAGTTAATTAATTAATGTGTAAATTAATAATATTATAGAAAATAAAAACTGAAATTGTTAATTTCAACTAATATATTTTCAACAAAATATTTAAAAATTTGTCCGAAATACAATTTGTTGAAGTTCTATTATCTCAAACATTTATCTATATATATAACCCATTCAACGGGTATCCGTCTGTCCGCATAACGGTATGATAATGGACACTAGAGGCGCCCCTATCGTGTGTCATATTTCAAACATTCAAATTAACAATTTTAATTATTATTTAAATTAACAATATAAATTATTATTATTCATTTGGTCAATATAACAATATAAATAATTCAGTATATTTGTAGTAGAAATTTATTATTGTCACGGAATGCCTGTAATGTTAACTAGGGGCAAATAATGAAAAAATGCTAGAACGCCCACTAGGGGGCATCCTGGGCTACTAGTATATATATAAATGGATGTGTTTGTGCCTATAATTCACCTTGCAGCAAAAACTACACATCCCCAAGTCTTCCATTGTGCACTATGCGCTCACATCTCGATAGCTATAAGGATGTGGGAGATATGAGGGTTGAAAGTGGTTGACTTCAAATATGTGTGATGCTTCAATGAGAATGTTCCAGTTTTTTTCTAGAAAGTTCTAAAATTTTCTGGAATATTGAAGAATTCTCACATATTCTCTGTCCTCACTCTCATTCTTCACTTCTACAAGTTACCTCCTCTCATTTCTTTTTAAATTAATAATACATTATAGTACATTTTTTTAATGATCAAATAAAAAAAATTAAATGATAAAAACAAACAACAAATATTCTGGAAAGTTTGGGATTACTTTAATAATTTTTAGATCCTTCAAGAATGTTCCATAATAATCTATATTATTTCAGAAGCTTTTGGAAGTTTCTGGAAATTTTACATATTTTATGATTAAAAATAACTATCTGAATTTTTTTTCTTCAAATTTTTCTTCACCAATCATATTCTGAATAACTTTTTATGTACAAATAATTTTATTTTATCAGTTTTTATTGAATTACTAGCTGCAAGGACCCACTTTGCTGGGTTTTTATTTGTATGTAATATAGTTTTTTTTATATATAAAAGACTGTTTTTCTAAGTAATCTAGAATCTAGCTGCAAGGACCCGCTTTGCTGGGCAAAAAGTAACGATAGTGAAGATTAAGATAATTACATTATAGCCAATCTTATCCGTTTTCACAGAATGCAAGAATTAGGTCCCCTGTTTCCAGACTAATTAGAGAATTTTTACATGAGTCTAAAAATATGTTCGATTTCCCACAAAAATGCAAAAAACTGCCTGTAAATCTTGCATGCCGCTTTATATTAACACTTCCTTTGTTACTCAACACTTCCATTGTTACACATCTTCGAAGTCAACCACTTTCAACCCCATATCTCCCACACCCTTATAGCACAGAATGAAAGAATTAGGTCCCACGCTTCCAGACTAATTGGAGAATTTTTTACGTCCAGTCAAATGAACTATTTTCAATTTGATCAATTTTCTGGAACGTTTACAATCATTCTATAATCGAACCAATTAGAATTTAAAACGGTTTGAACATTTTTAAAATCGAAATAGAAAATCTTCGAAGTCAACCACTTCATGAAGCCCCCATATCTCCCGCACCCTTATAGCTATCGAGACTCAACCACCATAGTGCACGAATGGAGACTTGGGGCTACTACCACATACGAACACCATTCATGTGCGATGTGTAGTTTTGGCTGAAAAGTGAAATATAGGGACACACACATCCATTTTTATATATATATATATATATAGATTATATATGAAAAAAATATTTTAGTTAAAATGTTTTACAATATTTTTATTTATTCAGAATGTTCTAGAATGATCTGGGCCAGAAGGTTTGAAAATGTTTTGGAATAGTCGAGGACCATTGTGTGTGAGTAGTGGGGATGGCTTTTGGAAAAGTGTGACACACATGCTTCAGTTGATTTTTCATAAGTAAAAGTGTACAAATAACAGAAAAAAGTAGAAAGTGAATAGTGAAGTGTGAAAAGTAAAAATATAAAAAACAATGCCAAAGCGTAAGAAAGAATTTTCGCAGTCTCAAATCATATCGCAAAGGCAAAAGATGGTGCAGAGAAATGAAACTACAGAAGAAAGAGAAGTACATCTAACATTGCTACAAGAAAATTATCAAAGAAACAGAAATAATCAGACAAGAGCAACTTGAAAATTATAGGGAAACACATCGAATCAGAGAAAGATTATATAGAGGAAGAGAAACAAGTGCACAGTTGGATGAAAGAAGAAAGCAGAGTAGAGAGAGAATGAGTAACATTCGCCTAGATGAGCAGATCAACATGCAATTATTAGAAACAACTGTACACGCTGTAAATGTACAAACAAACAAAAACCAAGCAAAGCAGGTACTTGCAGCTAGTATTGAAAGAAATATAATTTCAACAAATTTTCAGTCAGTATAATAACTGATATTGAGGTGTGTCCATTACTATTGAATAAATATCATGTTTTCTAGATTCTAATATGCATCTGATTTTTGTGATATCAAAATCCAAAAACAGAAGTTGATATCTTGTGAACACAATGTGTGCCTGGCATTGAAAACACAGCTGCAAAAAACTTAATGTATTTTATTTTGATGTTTGCAGTGTTTCATACAGCTTTATAGGAGATTTGTCTGCTGGACATTGGTCACTCAGCTTGTAGTTCAAAAGACCATCATATCATCTAAAATCAAAATTAAAACCAAAACTTGGAAGGGATGTGTACCATGTCTATACTGATGCCATTAATACACACAAATAGCCAAGCAGAGTGAGAGCAAATGACATAAGCAAGGCTGCATTAAGTCAACTTTGTGTGTGATTCTAATATCAACCCTTTTTGAGACTAAAAACATCTCAAAAATTCTCTAAGTCCAAAAAAGGAATACATTAGAATTGAGAAAATATGATAGGTCAACAGAGGTTTCACTTAGTCTATGTAATTTAATGTTTAAGAGGAAGATTGGGGTTCAGGATCTTAGGGAGCCAGACAGATTAGAAAATGGGTTTTCATTCTTTGTTGTGAGAACATGAGTGTATCCAGTCACTAAGGACTTTCTCTCTCACTTTGTAGAGAACATTCTCTGTGAAATGAATTTGTATAATATAGAACTGAGTAGAATTATTTCATCACCTGATGGCATTCATACAGGCAGAGTATAATATAGATGTTTGGCTTCTTCAATATATATTAATCACTTTAACTCAATTACTTATCAAATAAGATAATACCATTTTAGAAATTGTCTCTATAGTATTATAACTTTAATTTGTTTCTTTTTTAACAATAAATCTTTTTAATATATAGATTTTAATGTTTTATCATTTATATTTGACTATTTTTTCTTTTCAGGTGATGAAAAAGTAGATAAATTAAGAGCATTTGAATATTTTATGAAAGGTTGTGAAAAAAATAATCCTGAAAGTTGTTTTCATGCTGGTGCCCAGTTAACTTCTAAGAAAGATGATAGTGTACCTAAAAATTATCCATTAGGTTTACAATTATTGGAAAAAGCATGTTCACAGAATGATCAATTTGGTTGTTATTATGCTAGTGGACTTCATTTCGTAGGGGCTGAAGGAGTACCAAAAGACATGAAGAAAGCATTTATTTATTCAGAGAAAGCTTGTGATTTAGGGAATATGTATGCATGTGCAAATGTTAGTCAGATGTATACCAGAGGAGAAGGTGTGCAGAAAAATGAAAAATTAGGTGCTGAATATAAAGCTAAAGCACTTGATCTTCAAACACAATTTCAAAAGAAACTTCCAACAATAGCTTTTGAACAAGGAACTTAAATTTTATTAGTAAAAAAATTAGCAATAAAAACAGTTATATATAATTTATGTAGTATATTATATATTCTTGTATATAGAATTTTTTAAATATAGAAAGGTATGAGATTTGATTCAAAAGTAATGACTCCTAGTTTCTTCTCATGTAATAATGAGAAAAATAACAAGTTTATGTAGCATTTGGTACAATTATTTTATTTCATGTAATTAGTTATTTTCAATACATTTTTCTATTAAGATATTTTTATCATTTTATAATGTCCTCTCCTAAATACCATAATGATGTCAACCTGCTTCTCTTGGGACCTGGAATCAAATCTGGGTGTTGCATTACTGCATATGAGATGAAGTACAGTATTTGAGAGGAGTGTGTGGCATAATGTAGAGAGATTTTGTGAGAAATGAACAAGTGCTGGAGGAATGTGGGGTGAAAGAGTGTCACTCAAAAGGGAGTAAATGAGCTCTACAGTGGTTTGTCCACATTGAGAGAACAAAAGAACTATTGAAGACAGTATACATGGGAAAGGTGGATGGGAAGCACAGTAGGGGAAGGCCAATAAAGTCTTGGTTGGAAGAACAAGTGGATGAGTATCTGAAAGAATGTAAGATGTTGAGTCAAAAAGAGAAATGTGAGGAATCATGCTAGAAGAGGCATGAGTGTATCAGATGGGAAAGTGTGGAGAAAGTTGCTGAATGGATGATTTGTAAGATTGCAGCTTTTTGTTCATCTTGTTTTGATTATGAACATGAGGATGCAAATATATGTATTATGTTGTCTCATGCCCATTTCTCACCATCCAACTAAACCTGTTGTGGCTTGGCCAAACCCAAGTACAATGATTACAATTAAAAGACCATATTAATGACCACATGACAGAAAAAAATATATAATTGGCAGCATTATCATTCATAGTGTAATGAAAAATATTCTTTATTGGGAATACTAAGATGAAATTGATAAAGCTAGTCTGGACTGAAATATAGATATGATAGGACAGTCTGAACAAACTTTGAGAAATTTTGCCAAATTTCTGATATACAAGGTGTACCAGAATGACATTTTAAAAATTTGGGGGATTGTAGAGGATGAAATTTTGAAAGTTTTGATATAAGGAACCCGTAGCTAGAAATGTGATATAAAGTTTCTACAGCAGTAGGAAGTGCTTGACTGCCCTTCACTTTGGTAGCTACCCTTCCGTCCATCGACATCATGTTATTGTTCTTGACTTCTTCCTCTGAGGTTATGTAAAGTCCCTTGTGTATGCAACAAATGTAGGAACAGTTCATGAGCTTACAGAGCACATCTTTACAGCATTTAATACCATCAGAGGGGAGCGTGGCATCTCACAAAGAGTCAGACAAAACATGGTTCATCGTTGCACATTATGTAACGAAGTTGGTGGTCGTCACATTGAGCATTTACTCTAAAGTAGTGCAGCCACTGATTCGATGTACAGTTTGATTGTACTCTACTATTTTGTCAATAAAACTTGTCATAAATACTGTATTCGGCTGTTTCATTCAGCATACCGACTGCAAAGTGCTGTAGAAACTACATCACATTTCCAGCTATGGGTTCCTTATATCAAAACGTTCAAAATTTCATCCTGTACAATCCCCCAAATTTTTAAAACGTCATTCTGATACACACTGTATAAAATTATACACAAAACAAAATTAGTCACTCATATATTTCAGTCCAGACTAGCTCCATAATCAAAATAGCAAATATTAATGAAATTAAACTCAAATTGCCAGACCAGAGAAGCATGATAAAACTACCATTGATTTAGGAGTTTAAAAAAATCATATACAATAAAGAACTTCAATTTAATAAATATTCATCATTAATGTTAGAGAAGAAAATGATGCATTACTTTGGGATCAATTGTTTTAATAAAATTTTAAATAAACCGTTTTTATAGGCAAATTAATAGCGAGGTTGATGCTGAAGTTTTCACGTTTGTTTAAAACTTCGGCCTCGACCTCGACCTCGCTATTGACTTTGCAATATTATCAATAATGTGCTAAAATGGGATGAAAACCATTGGATTTTTTCACTCAAGAATTTGAAATACGCGGATTTTGTTAAAGGCCCACCAGTGGCCAAACGGTTTCGTTCCCTGAATACAATTCGGTTGTGAGATTTGCGCCTGGCTAATTACCCTTAAAAAGACCCCTGAAGGCATCGCCCAAGTGTTGCGTTGCCGTAACTTAATAAAATAAACAAAGCGGATTTTGTTTAAATATAGCATTAATTTAAAAAATAGGTAAGGTTATGATCGCAGCAATTGTCGCAAACGAACTGGTCGAAAAGGATGAAGTAACCAATAAATTATTCAAATGGAAGCTGAGTTAGATCGTGATGAAATTAATAAAGCAATTATTAACTAATCAACGAAATGGACCGCTATCTACCGTTAAAATGTATTCGGAATCTGTTATACCAACGTATGATAATTTTATATTTCGAAGTCATTTTAGAATGAGTTAATGATTTAAAATAACTTTGTGATTCTTATAATAAACTACGTTTAGTCCAACACGAGCAGTCATCTTGCAAATCGTACGGCAAGACAAAAACAATGACGTCACAAGTAGAAATTAGCAGTGGCCGGATGGCCGAGCGGTTAAGGTGGCAACCTACCGCTCTGGGGGACCCGGGGCTCGAATCCGAACGGGTCGAAAAATCTGTGGGGGCCGAGGGGGATAAATAAAAGAATTTGAACGATAATACGTGATACATATCGTCATCGTCTCCCTTGCCGTCTGGACTGCCGAGCGGTAACAATCAACGACATGTGGAAGCAGTTGAGTCAGAGATCGATGCTTCGTTTACAAACAACATAACCGTTTATTAAACACGAAAGAAGCTTACAAAATGTCCGCGATCTTGGAAGTTCTGCGGCGGCTGCGGCCTCTGGGTTTTCCTCTCCTTTCCGAGATAGTCCCATTTTGAAGGAGTGTCCCTTGTTCGCGAATGAACAATTCCATCGACAGTTAGTGACGGTTCGGACCTGTCCAGAGCCTCACAAATCCCCTGGAATTTTTCGGAGGGTGGTCCGTTCGGATATGTCGGGCCCCGTCCCTCACCACCCGGCAGCCCCTTTGTGGGCCTGGCCGAACCCATAATGGGTTTGCAAAAAGAGGCCCTCTTAGTGCCCACAGGGCAGAGAGTTAAAAAAAAAAAAAAAAAAGTAGAAGTTAGCATAGATAAAAGAAGCTGACTGAACTAGCTAGAATTCTAGCAGTGGGAGGAGTCGAGCAGTAGTTACAAACGAGTTCAACATCGCAGCATAACTAGACAGCAAGAATTCTGGTTACTGAACACGGCTACATCGCTCTTGGTGGCAACGACGGGTACTATCGACCGCCATTTTATTTTAAGTCAAAACATCGAAATCTATACCACGTGTTGGGCAGGATTGTCACTTTTGAAAGTTTAGAATATATTTTTCTCACCTAAATCTAGATTATTTTGTTTGACCCTAGATTTGAGATTTAGACAATTAGATAAGTGATATAAATCTAGATTGTTTCATCTCGAATTTAGCTATTTTCTACATTTTTAATTATTATAAAGGTAAGATCAGAGTTTAAACTGGTAATAGTAATACTTACCCTCAATATGACAATATTTTTATAATGTAAGTACGAGCCAGGTCTTGAAGGGCTTTACTCTCAGCCATATGATTGTTTATTTATAGCAGGGGTGGGCAAGCAAGAGTTCAGTGGGAGCCGAAATGTAGGTTTTGCAAAATGCATGGGAGCCGAAATGTAGGTTTTGCAAAATGCATGGGAGCCGCAGTTCTGTACTTTTTTTATTCTGTATTGCAATNAAATAAAGTTTAATTTTTGATACTTTTTTTGATACATTTTAATATTAGAGAAGAGGGAAGAAAGAGAGAGAGAGAAAAAAAAAAAGAAATATGACAAAATGAAAATTATACTACTTGAGGATTAATATCTGAGTAATTCAATTACTAATATTAAATGGACATACAGTACTTTATATTATACATTATATATCATATATGCACACATCATGCAACAACTCCAAGTTTTGAAATATCATTGACACTATATACCAGGAGTGGGCAAGCAAAAGTTCAGTGGGAGCCGAAATCTAGGTTTTGTAAACTGCATGAGAGCCGCAGGTCTGTACTTTTTTATTCTGTACTGCAATTTTATTATATGATATAAATATAATATAAAACAAATATTGAATTTTTTTAATAAACATATTTTCACAAAATTGTGGAAAATTGTAAAAAAAATAATAAAAAGCAGAAATTAACACTTTCGGCAAGAGCCGCATGTAACTCAAAAAGAGCCGCATTTGCCCATGGTGGATTTATAGTGTATTCAGGTCAGTTTGACTCAGTACTTTCTTGATTTGTTTTTGGGAAGTATTTTTTTCTTTTGCAGAATATAAGTTGTGTACTTGTGTTTTTATTACAGTTATAGTTTGTGAAGATTTTGCTTTCAACTTGTGAAAATGTTTACAATGAAAAACTATATTTTTGTGAGAGGCCGGACTTGAAAATTTTATTCAAAAATTTCGTTCGGAAAAAAAATATCGCTACGGATATGATTATATCCTTTCCCAAAGACTTACTTCCCTGTTTGAGTGTGACACATCGAATGTGTCACTAGGAATCAAATGCGAAAAATCGCCATTGGACGTGAAGAACGATTTTATCAAAAAAGAACAAGAATTGCGAGGGGGAGGACCCCCAAATAAAAGAGAAGATTCGATGACGCGACAGGGAGTTCGCCCGACAGAAGAGTTCGCATCCTCGAAGATTGGTCGTGTGTGTACACTCGGATACATTTTACCGCCGATGCTCCTCCAATAGCCAGTGATCAGAAGCTTAATCGCCGATAGCTGATGAGTCCAAGTACCCACCAAGAACATGTCTTCACCGAAAAAGGACCCAATTCAAGAAAGCGATCTTCAGGTAAATACCACGCGCGAACAATTGTAAACTCTCTCTCTAAAAGCATAAGTGTAACTAGTTTAGGCATATATAATCAATAAACAGATATAAATTTCTATAATCGAATTGTAAAGCGCACTTCTTTAGCTTAATTGGTCTCCATCCCGAGTCCAACCGCGCACAGACGCGACTGCTCGCGCGTAAATTCGCACGTAACAGTGGTGTCAGTCCTGATAAATTTGTCATTGCAGTCTTCGCCGACGCAATGTCGACCCTTCGGTCCTGTGGTGCCTTCGGCATTGTCACACTTTGACCTTTGTCATGTTATGACAAAGTTAATCACATTGTTGAAGTTAAAAATCCTTCTAAGAGGTAATGTGCTAATAACTGTAGGAAATGCAAGAAGTGTTGCATTTGTCCATCAAAAATACAGAAAACATGCCAGTAGGTGCAAGACTGATACGTGGAAACTTGACCATTAGGATGTGTACTGTATTCATCATTCTGGATAACAAAACTATATTAACATGAACTAACCTTTTGCTATGTTGTAGACAACAAACTCAGACACTGAAGCCGTGAGCTCGAAGAGGGATTGGAAAATTACCAATCCGAAATGCATTGTTAAATAGGCGAAATAAAGTTAACTGTTTTAATCTCGGTCTCTGTTAATTGCGGAGACGTGATAAATACAGTACTACTTGTCTCACTATTAGAAGAAACCTTTACTTATATCTTTTTATATTTTTAATTATTATCGAACGGCAAAAAACTTAATTTTGAGGGTAGTGATGAGTTTTAAAAAAATTGTAAATGTTAACAACGAACATCTTCATTAAGTCTTACCTCTCTCGATACGACACACAACCCTCTATCTCCCCGCCCCTTTAATATTAAGTAGCTATGATGCTATTCAATTAATAATGAGCATCGGTGCTCCTTATTTAATACACAAGCTATCATGCCAAATTTCTTTTCTAATAGACGCCAACACACAAAAAAAGGAAAAAATATTTCGTGTGACTTTTTTGGGTGCAGTTCTCAAAACGTGGAGATTTACAAAAACTCGGAGGGTCAAATTTGACACGATTCCAATGCTTTCCCTTGTTATGTATATATAACAGCGAAGAAAGTACAGTGGGTGATCGGTT